AAAAGTCCGGTTAGAAGGGCGTGGGGACTAGAAAGACAAAGTGGGCTTGGTACTATGAGTGCGCCTCCTGTGCAGATGGGCAGGGATGTGGGAGGCGGCGTTAGCGGTGTAACGAGTTTCCAGCGGAGATTAAGGGAGGGTGGGTTTGGAAGGACAGTTGGGGTAGGCGGGAGTGTGAGTGCGATGCAAGGAAGCAGAGTGAGGGAGAGCGGGAAGGGGAAAGCAAGGGTGGGGTTTGAAGAGTTGGTCGAGGCTGATTTGTGATGATTTACAGCCTCTGGGCAGTGATGGAGCGAGATCTTTGTTTGCAGCAATACATGGTGTTTCAACGCATCATTGTCTGTTTGTCTCATGTTTGGACACCCAACTATTCCTTGTTCGAGTTAACGTACAATTTCTAGCTGTCCTGGTGATGTTGGTTCTTTGCGTCGTCCCCTATCCCTATTGTATTTCCTCATTCACATCGACGCCCGATCATTGCTCGTCCATCGCCAATGACGACTTGCAAACAGTGCCTCTTCCATGCTAAGATGGCACATATAGCCCGCCCCATTGCACTAAAACGGCACGTCACGCTCGGAAGGTCTGACTATATCCTTATTGGCTGGATGCTGTTTGTTTCTGATAAACGTCATTGGCTCATGCAGTGTGTTTATTACCGCGTTCGTATGCGTGATGCGGGGTGCCGTATACCAGGCACACCTATTAACCAATGAGCGCAATGGAATAAGACGAGTTTCCGTAGAAGGCTGTTTGAGAAGTTTGACGCACAATGACAAGTGCAAAGGCAAGATCTAAGTATATAATCTGGATTTGGTGACGGTTGCAGAACTCAAAGCTGCCAAGTCAATTGCCAGTACTAATAGGTAGTGAATTTCTTATTTGCGGTCCAGATACCCATTCTTTTCACGACTTCTCCTGAGGCTTTTTTTCAATATATACGTCAATCTTGCGGGACTATGTATCTTACCAACTTGTTCCAACTCTTCACTGTTACACTTTTTTTGGGGCTCACGACAGGTCGTCCACGACGCCAACTCAACTACTGCGAAGGCGACAAAGCGACTGTTGGATACTGTGAGACACTAACCTACATCGACCGCACTACATCTGCCGAGAAGCCTCCACCCACAGTGTCAGAATGCCAACGCACATGTCACCAAGGCATCTTTGGCGAAGCAGGAGATTGGATCGTACCCTTCGACGGTAGGATAATCACCTCTCTCCCTGTCATATATCCACCACCGCCCCTTCTTCTCTCTCTCTTCCCCCACCCCCCCCCCCCACCACCAAGGCACTTTCCCACCATCAAAAACAAAACAAACTCATGCCCCTTCCACACAACTTCCCAACCCCCCAAATACCCCCAAAACATGTTGGGTTGGCCCTGCGGGTTCAGCAACGCAAGGGGGCCAAAAAAACCAACGAAAAAAAGCTTCCCGAAGGACAAACAGGAAAACGGGGAAAATGGGGAAGAAGGGGTGAAGCGGGTTGGGCCCCCGCATGCTGGGGTTGTTGCGGCGGAAGGCGTGGTGCAATGTCAGGGGTTCAAGGGAAAGGGGGTTGGTAGTCGGCTGCACTGAAATTGCATGGGGGGGGGGCCAAGTGGGAGAGG